AATCAATCAATCAATCAATCAATCAATCAATCAATCAATCAATCAATCAATCAATCAATCAATCAATCAATCAATCAATCAATCAATCAATCAATCAATCAATCAATCAATCAATCAATCAATCAATCAATCAATCAATCAATCAATCAATCAATCAATCAATCAATCAATCAAAAGAAAGAATTTCTTACTTGGGGAGTGTAGGAAAGTAAATTGTTATTCTACATTTTCTGAAGAATAATTATGAGAAACCCATCTATTGTTTTACAAGAAGGTATTTTAATAACATAATTCCATGCAGGTTTGATCTAAGGGCTTTCCGCTGGGCTCTCACTACTTGCTGTGGAGGAAATAAACAACAGAAAATATCTCTTACCAATCCATACTCTGGCTTATAGTATCTTTGACTCTTGTGGTACTCCTGTGACTGCTCAGAAAGTAGTCCTGGCAGTGCTGAATGGACAGGATGTTGTTCAAAATGTTATATGTTCTGGAGCTAGCACTTTATTAGGATTAATAGGGGAATCTGGATCCTCACAATCAATCGTTGTCTCCAGAACTGTGGAGCCTATCAGAATACCCATGGTAAATAAATTAAAAAAATAAATGAATAAATTAATACATAAATATGTTTTCCTGTTATATATATATATATATATATATATATTTGGCTAACATTTGTTTCTTTTTCATTTGTTTCTTCTGTTTCTTTTTTTAATTATTATGTAATTTATAGATAAGTTACTTCTCAACCTGCTCTTGTTTAAGTGATCGGAAGCAGTTCCCAACATTTTTCAGAGTGGTTCCCAATGATGATTACCAGGTCAAAGCTATTGCACAACTCTTAAAGCGGTTTGACTGGACATGGATTGGTATGGTGACTGAAGACGATGACTATGGCAGGTTTGCTTTACAAGGCTTAAAGCGAGAAATTGAGAATACTAACATTTGTCTGGCCTATCATGAAATGATACCTAAAGACTATACCCAGGAACAGGTCCTGAAGATTCTTAAAGTAATGAAGGAATCAACAGCTAAGGTGGTGGTTGTTTTTTCAGGGGAGGGGGGATTTTACCCTTTCTTAAGAGAGTTTGTGACCCAAAATATCACAGGAATGGAATGGATTGCAAGTGAGGCTTGGGTTACAGCTTCAATGTTAGCAGAATCATATCCATTCTTAGATGGCACAATTGGGTTTGCAATACATCAAGGATACATTCCAGGTCTTCAGAATTACCTCAAAACGGTGACCCCAGAAAGGTACCCTTCTAACCCTCAAGTTCAGGAGTTGTGGGAGGCTCTCTATGGTTGTTTTCCCTCCACAACCAGCTTGAACAGTCATTTGCCCTCCTGCACAGGAAAGGAAACTCTCAGACAAGAACACTCTGCCTACATGAACACATCCAGCCCTCGTGTGGCCTACGATGTATATAAAGCAGTGTATGCCTTTGCTCATTCTCTACATAATCTCATTAACTGTAAACCTGGAAATGGACCGTTTGAGAATTTCTCATGTGCAACCCTCAACAATGTGTTTCCATGGCAGGTAAAAGTACCTAAGGGTTTAAGGAGAACTGATTTTCACAGAGAATAGTGATTATATTTTGCATATTTTTCTTCTTAAAATTTGTTTTTGATCATAAATGTCTGCCCCCTCCCTCCATTCCCATCCCCTTCTTGTTGCTTTTTTTTTTCTTCTCCAAAGCTTCAGCATTATTTACAGGAAATCTCTTTCTCTGTTTCTGGAGAAAAGGTCAATTTTGATGTTAAGGGAGATTCAATCCCATCATATGATTTAATAAACTGGCAAAGACTTTCAAGTGGAGATATTCAGTTTGTTAAAGTGGGCATCTATGATGGTGCTCAGCAAGCTGGGAGAGAACTGTTGATTGTGGAGCAGGCCATTATGTGGTCTCACCTACAGAACAAGGCAAGGTGTTCTATTAAAAATACTGTCACTATGTGATCTTTGAGCCAGTATTCGCATAATAACTTGTATTATGCGAATGTGAATAATTGTGAATAATTAAAAAGGGTGACTTGTTTATGTTTAAATACTCCTAAATATGTTGTTTGGACTCACAAATTCTAATAGGTATTTAATATTTATTTTATTTATTTATTTATTTAGTCATTTATCAGACACTTTTATCCAAAGCGACTTACAAATGAGGACAACAGAGACAACAGA